GAGTTTCCAAAGCAATGTTATCGTATTTGAGCTACATGGCACATTTCACACATGAAATATTTTGGCTTGCTGCTACATATACAGCATTATAGGTATTTGGGGCGCTTTGCAGACAAATACAAGGACAGGTCCCTTCCCCAATGGATTTATAATGCAGAGGCCAGATCCTGGAATTTTTTCTCAATGTTTGCTCACTCCTCACTCAGGCAAAACTCTTTCTGAAGTCAATGGGAGTTTTGCCTGTGTAAGGACATAGTTAAAACCTGAGTAATAACAATAAGGACATCAGAATTTGGCCTTGCATTAGGAGCTTGATATATTTACAGTGTAACTAAATTCCTGTTGCTATTAGCACCATAATTTTTCATTTCCTGCCTTTTCTACACTTAAATCTTCTAATTAACTAACATTTTGCATGGAATTTCATTGGCAGTTTTTGCTTGCTCTTGTTGTTTTAAAGAGAGGAAAACTAATAAAGCATTCCTATTGCAACCCACACCCTCTGCTTCCAATCCTACTGGATACCTCCAACCTGCACCCATCCCACAAGGCCCAGTAAATCCTTAGGCTGTGTTAGAATTATGATGACACCAGAAAGCAACATGGAGCCCCATTCCTCAGCCAGCAGTGAGCCAGGAACCAGCCAGGACATGGTCATGGCAAATTTTACATAGCCACTAAAGGATGCTTTAAAATTGCTTTACTCTGGTCTGCTGAACTCTCCACTGCAGTGCATTGGCTCTGCTGTGGATACAGTGGCAAAGCATATGTCTTCTTTACCGTTAGTGGTTCCTTTTCTGTGAGCCCTATTTTGAAGACTCAAATGGGACTTAAATGGTTCACAGGCCTTTTGTGTTCAGAGAGGTGAATTTCATACAAATTGCTTTCACCCAAAGAGAGAAATTACTTTAAATTAGTCATTTATTTTCTTAAGAGTAGTAAAAAATGTGTGCATTGTGCACTAAGTAATACTTTCTAATTCCTAATAACTTCTAATAATTAGATAAAAAGGGCTAGTTCATTCCTCCCCACTGAAAAATCCACGGGAGGAGAAAGCATAGCAGAAGGCCCAGAAAACTCCATGAGGCTGACAAAGTACATTTGAAGGACATAAAAAATCCCAGCTTTGTTTCACTATGGCTTGTCGAGTTTGCCGGCTATATAGTCTACCAGCTGCTCTCTGTTATACAACAGCCACATGGCCACTGCTGAGAATTTCAGTGATCACAGAACCCAGCTACATGATGGAAAACTTGGTTGCCCATGCTCTGGAGGACATGTGGATCAGGATTTGACCCTAAGTAACTGAATTACTTACTATTGTTTTTACTAAGAAAAAAGAGATCAATGAGGGTGAAATCCTGGCCCCATTGAAGTCAATGGAAAAACTGCCAATGGGCCCAGGATTTCATGCTTATTATATTTAGTTAATTAAAAATTGCAAAATAAATATGTTTCCTAGAACCTATTCCTGGTTTCCTGTGTGGCTAAACCCCCTGTTAGCTTCAGCTAGAAATAAGACTGTGTAAGGAGATTGCTAAATATTGCAGCATGGACAAATTAAATAATGAATGTTAAGTGATTTTGCTGGGTGAGGATGGACTGTCTTTCTCTGACTTAAGTAGTGGCACTGTTATTGAGTTATGCAATGCTAAGTACTTCAGTGGACTAAATTTCATGGAGGTTGAAACAGGAACATATATTTGGCAATGTAAATCACTTCACAGACACAGCAAAGGAGACAGAACTCTGGGTTCTCAGCCTCCCCCACTTGTGCTTAAGGAGAATCCCAATTAGTTGTTGTTGTTGTTTTAAAGGAGTGATGTAGCTTATGAAAGTAGACTCTTTTTCTGTTTGTGACTTGTATGCAAGCAACTTATCGGTTTTTCTTCTGGTGGTGGGGCTTTTTGTTGTTGTTGTTTTTGACTGTTTGTTATTGAAAATTACTTGCTGAATAATTTCAGCAAGTGAATCTGGGTTGATATTTGATAACCAAGATTCTAAATGTAATCTGTGTTGGTTAGTTTTGATTGGACACAGAAGTCTACCTAGACATTTATAGTGCACTTATCACTATGGTAACTGATCATAATACCTGAGGTCACATGGCATTATTTGTGCTCCCTACTCGTAGGATGTGAATAGTCTTTCAGCAAATAGTCTCTAGGGGTCCTATTAAAATTCACTGTTTTCATCAACATTCCAGCCAGTAAAATTTATGTGCTAGAATATTTCATGGAACGTGAACACAAAGGTGTATGAACACAGCCCCAGTGAATTCATTGAAATAGCCAGCTGCTAATGTTGTGCAATATTCTCCCCACCCCAGGGAATTCTAAGGGTTGAGCTGTGCTCACTGTGTGTGGCTGGGCTCTTACTGTACACTGTGGCTGGTTATTGATATCCTTTTAACCTCTAAACACTAATATGGCAGAAGCATGTTCAAAATAACTGATAGGAGTGCAAAGAGCTGTTATTACCCTGCTAGGGCTAAAAGGCTGCTGTTCAGCCCTGCACTGCTGGGAACAATCACTGCTCCATCCTGCACCACCCCAGTGTATCCACGGCTGATGGTGTTTTCTTTGCGCAGAGCATGCATGCAAGTGCTAATATAGTTTCCCCAGCGGTCTTGCATTCCAGGGAGAGATTACTCTGATCTCACAGAGGAGGGCCCTGATTAAAGCCCCCAGAGTGGCAGAAATCAGCTTCTCTGTGGTTGAAACTATGACACAGTTAAATGGGACAGGCTGGCAGCTGCTGGGATGAGTCCGGTGGTCTCGTCATCATCCAAGGCCTTCCATCTGTGGGCTGTAAATCCCCTGTTGGTGATGTTGCTGTGCTAACGTTTGGGATCATCCCTCCCCCATCCAGTCCGGCTACCCAGCAGCAGCAGCATGGATGCAAGGGCTGGAGTTTTTAATCCAGTAAAGCCTTGCTCTGTTAATCACGCCAGACAGAACTAGCAGCTTCCGCACGTGCCTGCCGCAAGCTGGGCATGATTCTATTTCTGTCCTACCTCCTCAGCCCTGTCCCTTCCTCAAGGCGTTTCAGACTCCACATATGCTCAGCAGCCTTCTCTAACGATGAGTGAGCTTGTCTAACAATAGGAGCCCTGGTTGCTTATCCCAAAGACATTCAGACTCCTCTCCACATCTTCTAATTAGAAAGGACCACCAAATCCTCTGCCCCCCACTCATTTTGTATTGTGCTGGGGAGTGAACCTCAGGCTGAGAGCATTGGTGCGCTGCCAATATTTTAAGAAGGGGCTCTCACAAAATTTTCTCCATGTAGCCTGTTTATAAATCCTGTACATCTGGGGCGAGGGCAGGATGCACATACTCCAAAGAGAAAGGCTGAGGGACTAAGGGAATCTATTACTTTGTTTTCCCGCTTAAATTAAAACAGTCTCATCCCCATCAGCACTAGTGGGATAAGGGCTCTGTCCTTTTTGACAGAGGTTAATCACATTGTCTCCTTTTGCAGTTTGTTTCCCTTCCTGCTCCCATCTGGTCTGCTCCTCCTTCCTCGTTGTTTTTAAAGAGAAGACATAAGGACGACCATATCTAACATGGAAACTGCAGGGGCGATTTAGGCACGCACAATATAATTGCCCAGTTTGGAATTTGGACAGACAACTGGGGGTTAAACCCCTATTTCGGATCAAATGTCAGAAAATCTTGAATGACTATGAAGTTGTCAGGACTTTGTCCCAGCCAGTGGAGGGCATACCCAGCTCTAGTGCTCATTAACCCCAAGGCAGGGAATTGGTTCAGCATGGACTCTGGAACTCAATCACCAGCACCACTCCTTGCACCCCCTGGGTTTGTCTTGGAGGTCTCCCAAGTCCCATATAAGCTCTTATAAGACCCAGTCCTCCTTGGCTTGTGAGAGTTGACAAGAGCTCAGCTTGAGGTGGCATGGTGGCAGGTATGCATGGCACATATACAGTTATCACTGATGTACATACACACACTGGCAGGTTTTCAAAACTTGGCTTCCATTTTTGCACAGCTTGCAGCTGTGAATAATCACAGGCACATTTTTGCATGGGTGATCATTTGCTGGTGCAGCTGAGGTAATGTAGACAACTACAAGCACCTGATAGCACCAGCAAATCAATTACTTATGCGAAGAGGTCTAAATTAACTGCATTATGCACCAGTTATTTGCACAGGCCCAACTGTATGGAAGAAAGGGGAGGCACAGAAAAGGCCAGATGAAAATCAGGACCACCCTTTAGATCAGGGGTGGGCAAACATTTTGGCCCGAGGGCCACATCGGGGTGCAAACTGTATGGAGGGCCAGGTAGGGAAGGCTGTGCCCCGCAAACAGCCTGGCGCCCTACCCCATTTGCCCCTTCCCACTTCCCGCCCCCTGACTGTCCCCCTCAGAAGCCCCCACCCATCCAACCCCCCCCCCGCTCTTTGTCCCCTGACTGCCCCGTCCTGGGACCCCCTTCCCCAAACCGCCCCCCCCGGGATCCCATCCCCTATCCAACCCCCCCTGCTCCCTGTCCCCTGACTGCCCTGACCCCTAGCCACACCCCTGCCCCCTGACAGGCCCCCTGGGACTCCCACCCCCTATCCAACCCCCCCTGTTCCCCACCCCCGACTGCCCCAGAACCTCCACCCCCATCCAACCACCCCCTGCTCCCTGTCCCCTGATTGCCCCATGGGACCCTTTCACCGCCACGCGCATGTCGCCGCTGCCCCCTTACCATGCCGCTCAGAGTGGAAGGAGCTCGCTGCCCGCATGGCAGCATGGCTGTGGGGGAGCGGGGACACCAGAGGAGGCGCTGGGGGAGAGCCTCCCCGGCCAGGAGCTCAGGGGCCAGGTAGGACGGTCCGCAGGCCGGATGTGGCCCGCGGGCCGTAGTTTTCCCACCTCTGCTTTAGATGCATCTCTCCCCAGTAACTAGAATGCCCAGCTAATGTAATTGATTCACAACTTTCCTAGTGAATCTTTTATTCAATGAGGATTTTCTCCTTTCCTTCGGCCAGAAGTACAAAGACGTGGAGCCCACTCTGAAGATCAAGGAGGTGGATGGCTTGGAGCTGGTGAAGAAGTTCTCAGAGGAGATGGAGAGCATGTTGCGCAGAAAAGTAGACGCTGTTGAGGTACAAACTTTATGGGGAAATCCCCTTCTGCCCACCAGAAAACTAGAGACACTGAAGGCCAAATTTTAAAGGTATTTAGGCACCTAATGATGTAAATAGGCTCCTAGTCAGAGTTAAAAAAGCATCTAGGCACCTAACTTCCATTGAAATCAATGGGACTCAGGTACGTACGTGCTTTTGAAAATCCCACTAGGTGCCTGTCTGCATCTTTAGGATCCTAAATACCTCTAAAAATATCTGATCCTGATTTCCCTGCAACTGCTAAGCTATGCAGGTATAAAGGTTATACAGGGAGTTCATTGCCCATCCAAACAACAGCTGGTGCCTCTTGACTCCATCTGTTGTTATGTAGCCACTAGCAGAAAGATAGTGGCATACAAACAGAGGAATAGTAGCTTCTACCTCAGCCAGGGGTGAAAAATAAAAGAAGTAACTTGCTAGCTTCAAAATAAATATGAGAAAATGAACATTCATTCAACAGATCCAGGGCTAACTCTCCGGAAGGTGAGACCCCTGCGCTGTGCAGCGCACACTGGCTATTGAAGAGTGGCAGCCTGTTTGAACATTGGGTGGCCCAATGTGGCATACTGTGACTATTGTCGCTGAGCAATATGGACTGTCAGTTTGACTCTTGCAGCTGCTTGAGAATGTGTATTGTGCACATTAGTTGCTCTCTGATTGGGTGAGGTTCTTTGACCTGTTTTATATAGGAAGTCAGGCTAGAATCTTGATCATAATGGTCCCTTCTAGTCTTAACATCTATGAATCTGGTGCGTGCCAGTGTATTTACCCTAATTTTAGAAGTGCGGATCCATAGTCACAGAGTCCTGGCTCCCTAAAAACAATTTGGTGTAAAAAAGTAAAGATGGGCCAAAACCACAATGTTTGGATTTGGATCAAAAGGCAAGTTTGGGTGTGTTAAGGTCCAGGGTTTTGGTTTGACTCATTAGAGAGCTAGGGACCTTCCATGAAGTTTAGACTCAGATCCAAACTTGGATTGCCTTATTAAGGCCCATAACACAGCTGCAGCTTATTGTGCAGTGTTGTAAATGTGGCTGCATTTGAGCAGGATTTCATCTTCATCAGCTGATGCCCTGAAACCTGAGATTTGATAATGCAGATGATTATTTTAGCTTCCATAGCTGGCAAAGTTTACAAATGGTCATAACATTTCCCGGACCTTTTAAAAATCCAGTCATCACACTGTTTGTCTCAGTTCCCTTTATGTTGTTGATAGCTGAAGCTGGATTGGCTCTGGATTATCTTTTACACAGGGCTCCGGTTAAAGTGGAATGAAAACTTTTGTTGTTTTTCTGAATAAAAGTCTCTCTCTATGAATATGCTCAGTGCCAGGGTACTCATTGTCTGGGGGGACAAAGTCTTAGGAATGAGTAGCTGTGAGTACACTCTCCAGATTTGAAACTTGCTCCAGAGAACTTTAGTTCCTTTATTGGATGCAGGGGAATTTGTAACCTCTCTTAGCTTCCTCTGCTGTGCTGAACTAGATCTCAAGTCCGAGTCACTGGGTTTTTCAGTATTTTGTGAACAATTCATGCTTCGGAAAAGACTTGTCCAGTGTTAGGGGGCTTATTCCTTCACACACTTACATCCCTGGTCCTTCTCGCATGAACAGAGAGCAACAATACCTGAAGTCCAAAGGTGCAAACAATTCGATGTTTATTGAGGTGAACTTCCAGCAAGCATGATTCCAGTTTCCTTCCTTAGTGTCCCCCTTCCCAGCTCTGACACCGCAGAGCCTTACCTGTGTCCCTGTTCCCATTCCCCTGCTTAGCAAAACATGATTCGAATTTCCCCACCCCCATTCCCTGTTCCCATCCCCCCCCCCCACGCCCACTTCCTGATTGACTGCAGACTATATGGTAAAACTTGAGTTCTGCTTAGCTATACCTTAACCAATCATTTTCATGAAATTTAACTAACCAATCCTAATCATGTTATAACATGATTATTTAACCAATTATATCCCACCACCTTAATTAGTTTACACCCAGGAAAATTAATTATACAAGAGACAGAAACAATCACAGAACCAGACAGAGATTATACAGACAAAACAATAGGGAAATGGGGACTACAATGATAGAACAAACACAGAAATGAGGATTTCACATCCCAGCTATTGATAAGTAAGTTCTTGCCAGTCAGGATGCTATCAAACTAAGTTTCCTTTTACATTTTCTAAGCACTTCCCTTTCTCTGGAGGTGATAGGCACTATCAGAACAAGATTGTATTCCTAACAGCTCAATAGCACCTTATTTCAATGTGACTAGCATTTGCTTCCCAGCTTATGGCTGCCTCTGCTGTTTAGCCAAAGACCTTAGCCTAAGAACAGGGCCTCAGACTGTTACAGTAAGAGAAGGCCCTTACACGGGCAGACAGTGATTTTGATTCTTTTTTTTATACCTCTATAACTAGCTAAGTGATAAGAATACACCTAAATTCTTAGAGTATAGGCCTTTACAGGCAGGCCTGAATATCTATATCCTAACATCCAGTGTTTCCCACTCATCCTCCCTTTGTGTGTGTTTGCATTAGAGGCTGGTGGAAGCAGCGGAAGACGCAGATCTGAACCATGAATTCAACTCCTCGCTGGTGGTACGTTCATATCCTTCAATGACAAAGCCCTGATTCATGTGACAGGGAGCCTCGAAGGAACTGGCCAATAGCCAGGCATGGTCTGCCAATCCCAGGAGCGCCCAGCTATCTAAACATCCCATTCCTAAGCATGCTGGGAATTTCCTTGCCTTCAGAGCACCCAGTAGCACACTAACAACTCACTCCTGTCTCATTAGGAGTCATCCTTATTAAATAAGTGACTGCCATGGCAGGTCCAGGGCATTATGGCAGCTCCTCACCCTGCCACAGTGGTAGTAAACTCATGCTGAAAAGCATCCTTCAGATTCTTGCTGCATATGCTGGTGGCAGCTGGGGATGTTGCAGAAAGAAGGGTGCTGACTCCTTCCACTCCAGACTCCTTGGCACCCTCAGCTGTGGCTAACTTATGGGATGCCCTTAAAGGTGATCTCCAAAGGAGGATCTCCCATATGCTGTGCCATCCTGAGAGAAAGGGATGCATTGTGATCAGCAGGAGAGGAAGTGGAGTTTTAACAGGGGGAATAACAGGGACTCTGAATGATGGATAAGTGGAAACTCTCCGCTTCCTCCTGGATTGGTATATTCCTCTGTGAACCTCACTTCTTGTCATTTGGCTGTAAAAGGCTGGTGGGGCTGGTGAGTTGATCTGATCACAGACTGGCAGGCTTGAAAATGACTACCGGGCAAGAGTGATGAATTGGCCATTATCTATTCTACTGGAGCTAACTGAACACATCTGTCAAAGAGGGTGGGGTGAAGGATTAAAGAACAAGGCTACATCTATACTGCACGCTTCTTTCAGCGGCATGTAGCATATGTACTCGGGTAGTCCCCCTAGCAGGGGTTTAAGTAGCAGTGTAGATGGTCAGGCATGGCTTAGTCAAGGAGTACAGATACACCTGAAAGGTGTGGGCATGTACCCAAGTACATGGCTTTCTACTTGCCCAAGCCATGCCTTCCCATATGCACTGCTGATTTTAGCTGCAGGAAAAGGCTTCAGCAGTGGTGAAAATCTCTGGCAGCAGGGAGGCAGCAGGGAAAGGCTCCAGGAGTGGGGAAAGCAGGGAAGGATTCTGGCAGTGGGGAAGGGCTCCAGCAGGCGGGAGGCAGCTGGGAAAAGCAGGGACAGATAATTTTTTTCTGGCAGTACAGATAATGAACTCTCTTGCTGTCTTTTCCCTCTCCTCTGTCTCATTGCTCCTCATCAACAGTTTGATTACTACAACTCTCTCCTGATTAACGAGAAAGATGAGAATGATAATTACGTGGAGCTTGGAGACGAATTCATCCTGGAGCCAAACGAGCATTTCAATAATCTGCTGGTGAACACAACGTACAGCGATGTGCAACTCCCAACCAATGTCTACAACAAAGGTAAGAGAGCTCTTACCTCTGACTTCCCAACCCTGTGAGGGGAACCTGGAAACTACAGGCGAATACCAACACAAATAAGAGGGCGGGAAGTGAAAGATAGAGAAGAAGGGTTGTACTATGACTTTAAGACACTGTCCTTCTGGTGGCAGTGGGGAGCTCTGGGAGGCATCGTGCCTCCTGCAGCAGCATCATTGCAATTGTGCTTGGTGTCCTCCCCTCCTTGTGTGTCCACACATCTGCCAGTTACAATCTGGCCTTAAATCAGGAGCTGACCTATCTCTATTGGAGTTGGCGGGCGAGCTCCTGAAACATGGGGCTGCATAGTCCTTACAGGCTGAGGCTCTTGACGACAATGGTCTTAAAGTTGCTGCCCTCTTCTATTGACATATCAGGTTGCCTCCAGCCACTGGCTCTGTGCCTGCCAGACCATCAGTCCTTCTCCTTGTGTACATTTTGGCAGGAAATGCTCCCTTACTTCTGTCTTAGGTTGGGCTCATCTCCTGTGACTGTCTGTATGTGAGCTCAGTGAAGCTACAGGAGCAAACAGAGGCAGGTGGTTACATCATTACAGGGCCAATGCAGAGAGAGAGGTTTTTTTCTCCTAAACATTTTTAAATGAATTTCATGCTGAGCTGATAGCCCTAGGGACTATAATCTAGGGCACAAAAGACCCATGTGTTCCATAAACACCCGTTCGCTGGGAGGTCTCCAATCCAACTACTGACCATACTCAGCCCTGCTTAGCCTCTAAAACCACATGACTTCAGCTACTTAAACTAGGTCATCTATCATCATGCAAGCATCCAAGCCTCTAGCCCAGTGATACTCAGACTGGGAGCTGCAAGTGGCTCTTTAATGTGTCTCCTGTGGCTCTTTGCAGCACAGTTGGTATAGGTACTTCCACCTTTTCATTTTCTCTGTATGTATAAATATCTTCTTACTATATGTTCCATTCTATGCATCCGATGAAGTGGGCTGTAGCCCACGAAAGCTTATGCTCAAATAAATGTGTTAGTCTCTAAGATGCCACAAGTACACCTGTTCTTTTTATTAAAACAGTGTGATTTAATTATAAACCAGTCTAATTTAGTAACCAGTCATGACGGTTACTTTTACTCTGTTACTAACCAATTGTAGTTGGTAAAATAATAATATTTGGTCAGCCATTTTGCTGTGAGAATAATATATATTAAATAAAACAATGAATTCACATCACTGTGGCTCTTTTGTTTTAATATTGGTTGCTAATTTGGCTCCTGAACTTCTGAGGTCTGAGTGTCACTGCTCTAGCCCTTCACTTACAAACACTCGTGAGTCCCATGATTTATTTGGCCTACAGTGATTCCCTTTTAAAGCTTCGCTATCATTATTTGTTATGCTGTTTGATTTAGAAATTATATACGCCACTGCAAAGTTGAAAAGCTTAAGAGGGTTTTATTGCAGAAAGAGGGTTTTGATCAAAGCTTCCCTTGTCCTGTTGCGGCTGCTCCATTTTACCCTCTCTGGTGCTGGAGTAGATACCACTACAAGCTGTCTCATGTCAGCCTCAGATGTCTTATGTAAATCTTCAGATTTACACAGGTGTAAGTGAGATCAGGGGTCCAGGATCAGAGATCAAGCCTTGGGGGAGAAGCAGAGACAGAGGAATGGAATGAAGAAAACCAGGGGAGAGATGTCCAACAGAGAGTAATAGGAGAAAGAGGGCGGGCTTTTAAATTAAGGGCTTGTCCACACTGGGTAATTGCATCATGTTAGAACATGACTGGAGGAGTCTTGATAACTAGCACGCAATGTTAAACACTCACTGTAACCTGGGACTGTCATGTTTAACATTGTTTCAGCTGATTGGGCTACCAGTGCCCACTGGTATGATGATACGACACAACAATTCCTGTCTATACTGAGTGCTACATTGTATTTAACCTTGAGTTAATTACCATAAGCCCTTGGGATCCTGTTCTAACTTGATGTAAATCACCCAAGGTAGATAAACCCCAGAAGAGGAAGGGAGATGATGTGTGACCAAGCAGAGTTAACTTGTGATTGCTTGTGGTGACTTACATTCCAGGATTTGCTTGAACGGTGAAAACAATTCCTCTTGCAATGTTTGTTTTAAAGCCAGTTTCAGTAGGATATTTGTCATCATGAAGGGAGTGGCAGTAGTGAGGATACATGTTGTAATTGTGTTCAGACCATGAAGAATCATTGTATGTAAAGGCTCCATGCTGTCTGGGTCTTTCTCTTTGTTCCCACCACTCTCCTCTACACTGTGCTTTTTTTCCCCCTGTTGCACCCTTTCTTCCCCTCTCCCTATGTTTCCTGGCTCCGCATTTCCCCACAGACCCTGGCATATTGAATGGAGTTTACATGTCAGAAGCCTTGAATCCTATTTTTGTGGACAATTTCCAAAGAGACCCAACACTGACCTGGCAGTACTTTGGCAGCTCCACAGGATTCTTCAGACTTTACCCAGGTAAAGAGGCTCAGCATTCCTAGCCCTGTCTCTAAAAATCAGGGCAAAATATAAAACACACCAGGGAAGGGAACACATTGATACAGAACCTATTCTGGGAAGCCTAGGGTTAGGGGGATCACTGCCTTCCATTGTAGCATAGTAAGTATGGATTGCATAGGGGTCTGGGATTGGATTCCCCAAAAGGGAGATGACTTGGAAATAACCAACAACCACTGGTTGCCTGAGCTGATTGAACTGGGATGGTGTGCACCACAGGCACATTCCTGTAAAAGAGTAACACCGGTGGCGATGGAAAACTCTCATTCTCTAGCCACCAGCTACCCTACGGGGGGACAACACAGCCAGTGTGTTGCACCTGTGACACGGAAGGTGTTCTGCTCTTCAGGCTGACTGCCTGCTGTTGTGCAATCTGTCCTGAGAAATCCACGACGGAGCCTTTAGTGCTCAATCTGGGCCACACACCTATCTCTCCTACTTTTTAAGATTCTCAGCCGTTCTGTAAGAAAAAAGATACAATATTGCCAGCCTCAGGAGATCAAATATCATCAGTCAGTTCCCACCCCCCCAAAATCATGAGATTGGCCCCCCCAAAAGATTATATTATGGATTTGGTCTGTCTTTTGATTGTTTTGAACTCCCCCTGCCCATCACCAGTGTGTGTGTGTGTGTGTGTGACAATCAGTGTTGCCCACTCTCCCATATGTATTGGGTAAGGGGCAGGAGCTTACACCCCCACATCTGCCCAGCAATTAATTCTGCCCTGGTCCAGCCCTGCTCTGCTCCTTCTAGGATTCTTCACCCTCTCTCCCAGGCCTGTGGGGTGGAGATAGCAGCAATGTGCTCTCTCCCTCTTCCAGGCTGAGGGGAAGGAGTTTAGCTCCCCCATCCCCTCTTGTGAGAATGGTTGGGCTGCTGGTGAGAGGGGGAGGAGCTCTTGCTTTAGCAACTCTAATTGGTTGCTCAGCCCCAGCAGGCAGGCACACAGGGCAGGCAGCCAATCGAGGGCTCAAATTCACTGGAGACTGGAGCTTCTCGCGTCATCGCCAAACTGGCTTCAACCTCAGCCAAAATCACGTTACTCGTCAAAAAAATCACGAGAGTCAGCAGCACTGCAGATATTGGAGAAAGCTGCGTACAAATGATATAAAGATGATAGTAAATGCACTCCCTCCCCAATTTTTAAATGTTCCTGAGAGCACCAGGCACAGCCCAGTGACATTTTGCATAAAAATTAATCAACACATTCGAGGGAATGTGTGAAGGCCAGAAATTAAGTTAGGAAAGCTTTGCGTGTATTTATCCAACGTGCCTGCTGCTATAACGGCTGGAGCTCTGCTGTTGGCTGTGGGAGTCACATGACCCTGTGAACTAAAATAGTGAGGACTCAGAGCTAAGGATAATTGAAGGTTTGGTGCCTGCAGGGGTGGGGGGCCAAGGCCTGTTTTCCTGAGTGATTAAGCCACTGAGTCCTCCTTTTGCTGCTCTGTTCAGGGATAAAGTGGATGCCAGATGAGAATGGAGTGATCTCCTTCGACTGCAGGAATCGAGGCTGGTGAGAGATTAGGCCCTGTCATCTTTTTCTTTCTCTCGCCCTCTTTTTCTTCTCTTCTTTTGGAACTTTGATTGATCCTTGTCCTGATTTTTGTCCCACTCCTTCCTAGTGTGGGTTACAGAGATCTGAATGGGGAGTGCACAGACATCACAATCCAGTGTCTCCAGTGGGGAGTCTAATCAGAGCCTCTGTTGCATGCTGCTCCTGGGAGAGAGAGAGGATAGATGAACTAGTGTTTATGCAATCACATTGTATCATACTGGATTAGAGAGTGTTGTCCATCCCCTTCCAGCACCCCTCCCTCCCTCTTGGGGTCTAACGTCTCATATGGAATCACCATCAGTGACTCCCTTCTTTATCCCCTCCACTTTATGAGACTGCAGCCAATGGGATGGTACTGTTCAGAGTCCATCAAGTCCGCTCTTTGAATCAGTCGTCTCAGTAGCAGGGATTGCTGTTAAATAACACCAAGTTCCCTTTGTCAACTATGTCTGAGCATATCACCTCTGCAGCACTCCCAGCCTTTGCCAGCCCAGTAAACAAGAACCCAGGTCCAGCAGAGCACTACATTAAACAGCAGGACAGCCCCGTCATATAAATATGAGTGGTACATCCCACATGGGATAAAGGGTACATTCCCAAGCCTGCCACTGCCAGGCAGCTGCTCCAGACATGCATGTTATCTTGGGTCTAGAATCAAGGACCTGATATGGCAAATGGTATGCCCAGAATTCTGTCTTCCCCGTGGTTATGTTGTACCAGCTTCTCTTCTCTCCCAATCCTGTAAAGGTACATCCAGGCAGCCACCTCGCCCAAGGACATTATAATTGTGGTGGACATCAGTGGGAGCATGAAGGGTCTGCGGATGACCATTGCGAAATACACCATCATCACCATTTTGGACACTTTGGGGGAAAACGATTTTGTCAATATTATTGCAGTAAGTGTATCCCAGTCTAAATATAAAACAACTCACCCTGTCAATCATGCCTGCCTTTCAGCTCCACTAGCAAACCATGCTGGGATAGCACTAATATCACTCCAACACTTAGCTCTAGAGTTAGATGGGAATGGGAAATAAAAACAAATCAGCTATGACAAGTCAGTGGCAAGTACTTTGGTGAGTGACCAGCAGGGTAGATGCTAATTCCTTATTCACCCTGTGATTGACAGTAAAAGCTTTTTCATTCATATTTCACAGACTAAACCCAGAGGGACGGAGTCAGTCCTGGGATGGGGGCACTTGGTGCTTCGGGAAGTGATGGTGCTATTTTGATTTATGGCTGTCATCCCTCTGAGCCAGTAATACTCCAGCCTGGTGCTAGGAGGCATTGTGCTGCTGAAGCTGCTATCTTTCGTATGAGATGTATAAGCAAAATCCTGACTACTTGCGGTCAAGAAAGATAGCACTTTTCTGAAGAGTAGTGATATTAACTTTTTTATGTCCTGGCTGGGATCACCATGATACACCAAATTCTGCCCTGACTTCCCATAGAACAGAGTCCAGTAAAAGGTCAAGCTCCTGATTTTCAAAGTTTTTCATGGAATTAGGCCTAGATACCCAAAAGACTATTTCTCCCTCTATGTGACCATGACTTCCTGTGACACCACTGGAACAATAAGACAGTTGACCAATCCCGGGGTGGCTCGTGACCACAGAAGACAGAACTTGCACAGGATCAAGACTGTGGAACTCAATGCCAAAGAAAAAGAGAGTGATTGCTAACCTCTTCCCTTTCAGAGCTAAATACAAACCCCAGCTCTTTGACCAGGATTTCCCATAATTATACCCTCATTCCTATAGATTTATAGGAACAAAACATCAAAATCCCTAAGCTTGACCTCTGCTGGTAGGGAAGGAAGTGAGAGCTCATTGTTATCTGTTTAGGTTGCTAAGCTATTCCATTGACGGGAGCCATATAAGTACCTGGCTGGATAACTGGAGAAGTGAGCCGTGTTGATTCAGGAACAGAGGGAAATCATACTAAGCTGGGAGGGTTTTATGTTCGTTTTTTAAAGGGATGTATGTAATATATGTCCCCTTGTGTATTGTAATCTGGGAATCTAAGTGCTGACGTAAGTTAGTCTGTAGCACAGCTATTAGAGTGTGGAGAAGACTTCTGGAACTCTATTGTTAAAATAGCATTAACCCTGCAACTACGGGTGTGCCTGGATTTAATCTGCCAACATGCTACAATTTAATTAATGTATTACTTTAAAAGGCATGATTTTTAAAAGTGTGATGTGTCTAGAGCACATTATTGGCACAATAAAATTCTAAATAAAGAGGTAAATAAAACAGTGTAACTGTAAAATAGATGCTGTTTTTATCCCTATAAATGTCCTCTTACGGATCTTACTGTCAAGAGATTCCTTTTACCGCTAACCCTATTCTTTTACTTTTCTCTTTTCAGTACAATGATTATGTTCATTATGTTGAACCCTGTTTCAAGGGCATCCTGGTCCAAGCAGACAGAGATAACAGAGAGGTGAGTGCCAGACTCAGAGGTGTTGTTGGGACAGCTCTTATTGTAGTTGAGTTAGTGGGACTGTGATGCTTTCGTGGGAAACTCCAAGGACAAGAAGCAATTGATGTCCCAAAAACGTGGATTTTTATTTCTGAGACCTAGAGCCACATTCACGGTGATACACTGGCTGCTCTGCATCTCTCTGGATATGCAAAGCAAATGTAAACTCAGTGCAGCTGGCTGGTTAAACCGAGTTTACAACTGATCTGTGTCTCTGGAGCAGCGCAAACTAGCCGGAGCATACCAGTCAGTCTCTCCTGTCCTACCACAAGAAACAAAAGCACATAACTCTGTGTGCCATTTCTAAAAGCTCAGACCTTCCATCCACATCCTTGGCCCTCAGAAAGGTGGGAATTCAGCCCTTTCCCAGTAAATGTCTGGTCACCAATGAATGCTGCAGTCTAGGTTCCCCCTTTCATAGGGCACTTTTTCAGTGTGCTTTTCTGATAGCTGCTTTTCTAATGTGGGCGTGAGGAGCAGCTGCAGCCCTAAGGTGGTCATTGTGCATCTGACTGCTGCAAGATGCACCTCCCTCCTAGCTGGGATGTATTTTTAGCTCCGATTATATCTCCCTTGTTTCTCTCACTCTCAATCTTGTGGAGGTGGCTCATACCCACATTGTCTCCATAGTCCACAGTTAACATTATCAGAATGTTTCCCTCCACATTTCTCCCCAAACTCCCGTGTGTTTCACCCTCAGCAAAGAACAAATCTCCGAAGAGAGGTGCTGCTATTTCTGGCAGTTATTTATGAACATGGTGTGCAGCAGCCTAGAGTACAGCACATATGTGAACATGGGTGCCCCGTGATAGAACTGTTATTGGAGTAGCCTATTGACTTTCAACATCTGCAGCCGCCATAGGGGAAGATTGCCCAGCCATCTAGAGTAGTTGTGTGCCCTGAAATACAGGGTTTCTTTGGCCCTGTGTCACCCTTCTCTCCCCTGTCCTGAGAATTCTGCCTTCCTTCTGTCCGCATCTCATATCTGCCATGTGTTTCTCACTTCACACTAGCACTTTAAGCAGTTAGTGGATGAGCTGCAGGCAAAAGGAGTGGGGACCGTCAATAAAGCCGTGCTGGAATCCTTCAAAATCCTGAGGGAGGTAAGAGCATTTTGTTCCAAGGGTGTTAAAGAGCATGCTCACTCCTCCTGCCCCCCAGCCCTTCTTCCCCATGTCTCATGGCACTGTACAGCTCGCATCGGGTCAGGGGGAATTCTCCTAGTGCGGTGACATGAACGTTTTCTGACAGGGCCAAAAGTTGCTGATGAGCATGTTGGCTGTGATTGTGACATGGATGGTGATGGTGATGATGATGAACTTGGGCAGTCTGACTTTAGGGAGCTGTTTGTTTGTTAATTTATTTAAAATGCTCAAACCCGTTATTGCTCCCGATGAGGATAGTAATAAAGGCGGCATTGCCATGCCAAAGGAAAGTGGGTAGCTGACGTGGCATAGAGCCAGTTGCTATAAATAGTCACCTTTCCGCAGGGAAAAGTGACCCCATAGATCAGTGCCTTGAATCGTCCATAATTACGTCCCTCAGGTCTGATGCTCAATTCATTCCATTTAATCAGAGCCTCTTACTTCATATTTCAGTGCTGTGCCAATTCATCTGTGCCTGAAAATGAACGATTGATTGACTGAAGTGACTGGAGAAGGAAGGGGGGGGACCGAGACAGCTTTTTAACAAAAAGGCTTGAAATAACATAATTAAACTGACTGTATTCACTGGGCCAAATTCAGTTACTCGGGTGACTTAAATAGGAGTAGAGTTAGGCCAACACTAAGTGTTGTTGAAAATCTCATCCTTATTTTCTCCTGCTATCCCATCTCATATTGTCTGGGAGACTAATAGGACTGAGCTCAGATCTCATGTACACCAGTGTTATCAGTCAGTGGAGTTCCACCCGTGAGAGCATGCTCCCAATCAGGCCCGTTGTGCTGTTGAATCCATGACAGTATCAAACAGTATCTAGACGCTCACAGTGTTGATTGTGGTCCTGAGGGATACGCTGAAGAAGCTAGTAGTGATTGTGATTTCAATAGCTGTGTGTGCGGTAGTGTTGCTAGCAAATATAATGATACTGGTGATATGATGATGCTGGTTGTAGTGACATAAAATGTCACTACAGAGATGATAATATAAATGACAAGATGATAGCAATCATTCTGATAATGAAGGGTATGAGTGAGCAATGGTAAATGTTATTACAGTTAAGGTATTACATTGTTTTTACTTCTCCGTTTATTTTTGTGTTTAATTTCCCAGGGATCAATACAGTGATTCATGTAGAAAATACCACACGTAAAATAAAACAGTGACACTCATCCAAGGTGTTCCAATCACCTACTATGCCCATGACAGTCATGCAGGATTCATGATGTTCTGTGAGCAATTGGGACCTCAACAGTCATCACACAAAAGCATGACTCAGCTTTGTTCCTTAAGGATTGCTGAAGGAAATAAAAAAAAAAAATAAAAGTACCGAGTCCCAGTGTAACCCACTCTCCTAAGTGCACCTGCAGCCCTGGGGTACTACTAAGGATACTGATACCCTTGGGGATGATAGAAATAATGCTAACAACACGGTGTTATTGACAGTAAATACAATGCATTGAAATTACCGATTCACGACAGCAGAGTATCTGGCTCCAAGTGTCTAGTGTAGCCCTGATTATCCATAATGATAATGATTTCAACTTGCCAAGGGAGGTTTTGCTCCTTAGCACAGTTGTGTTTAGAATTATAGGCCCGGGTTTTCCGGCCCACTTGAGATCCGCTCAGTGACGGACGAGGAGTCCAGGGTGGGAGAAAAGGTGGTATTGCGCCTTCTTTATATTTCCACAATTCTGGGCCAGCTAAGGGCTACCCTGGAACAGCGTAGAACAGCTTCAGGAGAACAGTTAGCAGCTCTACACCACTCTGGGATGTCCCATCTTCAGGGGGAATCCTCAAGAAGTCAGTTACACCAACTTGATGGCCTAGTACTGCCAGAGTGACACAAAGGGGCTGAAGAAAGAGCCAGAATCTGGTCCATAGAGCTTTCGGTGGTATTTAAATTGCAATTCCAAATGTGTCTTAAGCTCCTGGGCCAAGATTTTCAAAACTAGCTGGTGATTTATGGTAGCCTCAATTTTTTGGTGAGCCCCCAGCCTCTGAAAATCAGACCCCTTTAAAGTGTCTCACATTGAGCACCCAGAAATTGAGGCTAGTCATTTTTGACAGCCTTGGCCATTACTTCTTGCTGACTGAGAATAACTGATCCCTTGAAAAAGAATGGTCTAGTGCAGTGTTTCTCAAACTGGGGTCTGCGGACCCCTGGGGGTCCATGAGGGTACTCCAGGGGTTCTGCGGGCCCTGCCGATCAACTCCTCCCCCTCCCTCCCTCAACTCCTCTCCCTCTCTCCCAGAGCCTTCTGCACCCTGGGGAACAGCTGTTCCCCAGCGTGCAGGAGGCGCTGGGAGGGAGAAGGAGGAATGGGGATGTGGTGCACTCGGGGGAAGGGGCAGAAAGAGGCGGGGTGGAGTGGGGGAGGGAAGAGGTGGGGTGGAGGGCGGGCCTTGGGGGAAGAGGTGGAGTAGGGGTGTGGCCTGGGACTGAGTGGGGAGGCTTGGGGGTCCGTGAAAAATTTAAAATCAAAATGGGCGTCCTTGGGTTGCTAAAGTTTGAGAGCCGCAGGTCTAGTGAGTAGCAAAAGGTAGCTGGGTGTCAGGACTCCTTGGTTCTATTCCTAGCACTTTCACTGACTCTTTATAACCTTGGACATGTCATTTGAACACTCTCTGCTTTGATTTACCCATATATAAATTCGGTACAATAATATTAACTTGCCTCACTGGGGTGATGAGAGGCTTAGTTAATTAACATGTATAAAGTGTTTTGAAATCATGGCACGTAAGATGCTATGTAAGTGCCAGATAGTATTGCTTACCAGTGAGTAAACATTTATCTTGTCTCTCCTCAGCCTTCTGTTCTCTTCAGCAGGGTTTCCTTACCCCGCTCTCTTAATCTTTCCATACAGGACTTATTTTTCCAAACTTTTTACCCTGTCTGTTGCTTTCTTCTGAACTGCCTCCAGTTTTTCTGTCTTCTATGAAACATGGTGCTCTCAACTGGAAGAAGAGTTCCAGTTAAGGCCTACTAAGTGCCAACCAGAGCAGAATAATTACCTTGTGTGTTTTACACATAATACTCCTCTTAACATATCCCAAGAGATCAATTACCTTTCTTTCTACAGTCTCACATTGTTAATTCATATTGAGTTGATCTGTCCTTGGGGTATGCCTTCCTAGCTGGGATTCAGTCTTTGAGTTAACAGATTACAGATTCGTTTTCTCTTGTTCTGTATTTGTGCCCATGACTGTTCCTTCCTACGTAAACCAATTTATATTTCTTTTCATATGAATCTTGTAGGGTCACACATGTAGGGATGTCTACAGAGCAAAAATAAATCCCCTGGCAGCAAGTCCCAGAGCGTGGGTCTAGAGACTCAGGCTTGCAGGGCTTCTGCTATGATGCTAAAAATAGCTGTCAGAGTGGTAGCCGTGTAAGTCTGTATCAGCAAAAACAATGAGGAGTCCTTATGGCACCTTAGAGACTAACAAAATTATTTGGGCATAAGCTTTCATGGGCTAAAAACCCACTTCATCAGATGCATGGGTTGGAAAATACAGTAGGCAGGTTGGTATAAATACACAGCACATGAAAAGATGGGAGTTGCCTTATCAAGTGTGGGTGGGTCAATGCTAATGAGCCAATTCAGTTAAGGTGGAAGTGGCCTATTCTCAATAATTGACAAGCAGGGGTGAATACCAAGGGAGGGAAATCACTTTTGTAGTACTAATGAGGCCAATACAATCAAGGTGGCCCATTTCAAATAGTTGACAAGAAGGTGTGAGTATCAGCAGAAGGAAATTAGTTTTTGTAGTGACCCATCCACTCCGCTTTATTCAGGCCTAATTGGATGGCACCCAGTTTGCAAATTAATTCCGGTTCTGCAGTTTCTCATTGGAGTCTGTTTTTGAAGTTTTTTTGTTGAAGAATTGCCACTTTTAAGTCTGTTATTGAGTGTCCAGGGAGATTGAAGTGTTCTCCAACTGGTTTTTGAGTGTTATAATTCTTGATGTCTGATTTGTGTCCATTTATTCTTTTGCATAGAGACTGTCTGGTTTGGCCAATGTACATGGCAGAGGGGCATTGCTGATACATGATGGCATATATCACATTGGTAGATGTGCAGGTGAATGAGCCCTTGATCGTGTGGCTGATGTGGTTAGGTCCTATGATGGTGTCCCTTGAATAGATATGTGGACAGAGTTGGCAACAGGGTTTGTTGCAGGGAACTGAACTGGCCTCCTTAGCACTGACCCCCAACTTGGTAAGGCAACTCCCATCTTTTCATGTGATGTGTATTTATACCAACCTGCTTACGGTATTTTCCACTCCATGCATCTGATGAAGTGGGTTCTAGCCCACAAAAGCTTATGTCCAAATAAATTTGTTAGTCTCTAAGGTGCCACAAGGACTCCTCATTGTTTTTACTGATAAAGAATAACACAGCTACCCCTCTGAAACATGTCAAAGGAAATAGGGATTAAAGAAGGTTGCTTTCCTGATCTTGGAAAAGGCATAAGCTGCCCATGGAAAGCCCAATATAAACCTGAGTCAGTCTCTGCTCCTGTTAGATCACACTCAGAATCTCCTCTCAACTTGACACCAACCCATTAAATGGGTACATGAACTCTGTCAGATTCTGAAGTGATATAAATGGTGGGGTAAGTTATATAAATGTTGGGTGTAAGTTGGTCAAAAAAGGTCTGTGAGTGACACCAAACTGGCATTTGATGATGTGTTAAAATGTGTGTAATTTACCCAGATGTGGTGTTTTACAGGGAGCAAACACAGCTCCTGGTGTGCCTCCTTATGCCAGAGCTGGGCGCGGAAGTGTCGAGCATGGCACAGTGTTAGTTAGTTAGTGGGGGAGGGTCTGCTGTACCCCATTACCTCCTGCTTCATGCCCCTTTCTGTCCCCATAGGGCCCGGACCTCAGCAGGTGTAAAACGGTGTGGCTCCACTGAATTCAGTGAGGATGTACTAACC